AGGCACGAGAACGCGCGAGCGGTGCACGGACGGAGTGCGGGGCGCTCTCGAGACGTGGCCCCCTCGCGCCCTACGCGCCGCGCACCAGGCCGTCCTGAGAGGTGGCCACCGCTCCGCGCATGGAGGGCGGGGGGGGGGCTCCAAGCGTGGCTCTCGCCCTCGCGCCGCGCAGCCTCGTCGTTTGGAGAAAGGTGCTCAAGGGTGCTCAAAGGTGCGGCTCTCGCCCTCCGCGGCTGGACCGTACATGGACACTACATCCGAACCCTGTGGCCCAAGATGTCCCCCCGACCCCCCGAAATTAATACTGATGGCGTGGCGACGGGGGGGGCGTGGGTGGACAGAAGTATGCGAACCCCAGAGCACCGCCCCTACTGACATCAACACTGATGTCGGGGACGCGGGGGTGATTTGGAATCTCCCTCGAATGTGTGAGGGTTCGAATATATATATATATATATATATATATATATATTGTCCATCGGCTGGAGGGCGGGGGGGTGCTCCAGGGTGCGGCTCTCGCCCTCGCGCCGCGCAGCCTCGCCTTTTGGAAAAAGGTGCTCCAGGGTGCTCCAGGGCGCGGCTCCCGCCGTCGCGCCGCGCAGCCGCGTCGTTTGTAAAAAGGCCGCATCGGCTTCGGTTTGTGCAGGCGGCCCCTCTTCGGAACGCGGCCGTCGCCCCCAGCGCCCCAGGCCGTCCCGAGGGGGTGGCCACCGCTGCGCGGGTGGAGGGCGGGGGGGGGGGGTGCTTCAAAGCGTGGCTCTCGCCCTCGCGCCGCGCAGCCTCGTCGTGTGGAGCAGTTCTACGAGCGAAGCGTTTTTTTTTTTTGTTCAGAAGATCTTCTACAAGCTACGTGGGGCATTCCAAAAAGGGCCTGGCCTTCGCGAGCAGAGAGATGCCTCGTCTTTGGGAAAGAGGCTGGGGCAGCTTCGATGTGTGCGGGCGGCTCCTTCTCTTAGAAGGTCGGGGCAGCTTCGACTGCGGAGGCGGCTCCCTTCTCAAAGTGTGCGGCCTTCGCCCCAGCGCCAAAGCACAGTCGTCTTCCGAGCGAGCCGCAGTCTCGAAGATGGAGGGCGGCTCCTCGTCAAAAACTGCGGCTTTCGCCCGGCCCCTGCGCACACGTGTGTCTTGCCAGTTTGCGGCGGTCTCGCGGATTCGAGTGGTCCAGGTCCCAGGAAGGATCTGTGCGAAAACACACACACAAAACACACACACACACACAAAAAACAAAAAAACACAAACACACACAGGAAGGATGTTATGGCACGATGTGGCCTGGCCAGAACGCAACCGTAATGCTGATCCGCGGTGCTGAAGTCTGAGGAATGACGTCTGGCACGATTCAGGATTCTGAGGACGCAACAGTTACTTTGATCCGCGGCGCTGATGTCAATGCAGCGGTGCTTCGGCACGATTGAGATCATCATATTGTTGTCGTTATTGGGCCACTGCCTGCAGGGAGTAAACTCTTTTAGAGATCTATGAAGCGGGAACTTGGCAGGAAAATCTGCTGCAACCTCGTTGATGCGTCTTGTGCCTCCTCCTCCGCCTCCTCCTCATCCGTCTCCCCAGCCTCTTCCGTCACCTCCCTCCTTCCCTCCCCTCCTTCCAGTTCACTCCCCTCTCCTCTCCCGCCTCCGTCCTCCCTCCTCTGTCTCTTTCTCCTCGCCTCCCTCCTCTGGGACGCACAGAGACATACTAATACTATGTGTCCTCCTCGGAAGCGCGCGCCCGACCCGAACATACAGCATATCGTTTCTCGAGCGGCGTGGCCAGAAAGCGCCCGCCACGACGCATACGTGTACTATGAGATTTCTCGGTGCGTGCGTCGCCCCAGGGGGGGCGACGCACATACACGTCGGTCGGAAGAAGTAAGTAGAAACACAGAGTAAGAAGGCGGATATAGTTGACTGGGCCCAGGTCCTCCCAGAGAATAACAAGCCGCAGCAAAAGCGTGCCGACTCTTGAAGTAGGAAGGCGCTTTGAAGCAGATTCGGATCTGGGAATCCAAAAATACCTACTCTCAACGACCGGCGTCTATGTTTGGGGTGACGCCGATGCTCATCCGCCTTTCGGGTCGGGCGAAAGGGGGGGATAGCAAAGGGGGGGGTGAGAATCAGCGCACGTAGCTGATCTTCCCGGCGCCTCCCGGCGGCGGAGGCGGCTATGTATCGAGGAATGGGCACCTCGGTGAGGCCGAAACCAGCCGCATGCAGCAGATTTCGTACCCCCCCCTTTCCCAATCCCCCCCTTTCGTCCAGCCCGAGCCTCCTGCCGGCCACGTGCAGAGCCGCACGAGCCGAGGCCCCAGAGGCGCACGCGCAGCGGCCAGGCCCGCACTGCCCCTTACAAGCCTCGCATGGCGCCGCCGCCCCACGGCGCCCGCGAGTCGCCGTCGCCGCCGACGCCGCCCTCGCCTCGTCGCCGCCGCCGCCGCCGCCGTCGTCCTCGTCCTCGTCCTCCTCGTCCTCCTTGTTCTCCTCGTCCTCCTCCTCCTCCTTCCTGCTCCTCCTCCTCCTCCCCCTCCTCCTCCTCCTCCTCCTCCTCCTCCTCCTCCTCAGATCCGGCGGTACAACAAAAAAATGCCACAGCGCGGCCAGAAGGACGGGCAGGAGCCTCAGTCCCCGCCCTCCCGCAGCACCCTTCGAGCCGCAGCGGTCTGTGATGGCCCTGGGGCCCCAAGCTGGGCGAAAGCTCTGGGCGTGAGGAAATGGCAGAGCCCAGGTCTCCAAGGCAGGAGAGCCCAGAATTGAATCGACAAGTCGGATCGGCGATCGAAATGAATCGGATCGGCGGAAATCGGCAGCCGAGTCGGGAAAAGTCGGATCGGCGGAAATCGGCCGCCCAGTAGGCCTTCGTTAGGAAATCTGAGCCAAAGTCGGAATCCGAAATCGGATCGAATCGGACTCGGAAATCACCGAAATCGAATCGAATCGAATCGGAGGAATCGAAATTAGCCCTGCCAAGGTCGTTCGCGTCGTCGCCACTGTCGCCGCCGCCGTCGCAGCGGGTTCAGACGCCGGCAGCGAAAAGTCTGTTCCCGGACTCCTTCCGAGGTCCAAGCGCATCAATTTCCCGAGCTGCTTCCAGCCGTGGCGACGAGTGGGCCTGCCGAAGACCAAAAATCGTGGTCTCAACTCGCCCTCCTCTGATCCTCGTCGACCTCGTCGCCGCCAACGTCGCCGCCGCCGTCGTTGCCGTCAACCCGACCGATTTGTGATGGCCCCTGTGATGGCCCCCGGGGCCTAGATCACATAGAGGCCTCCTAGATGGGATCCGAGTAGACGGGGTCGAAGCATCGCGCCGCATCGCCGCTGTATCGCCGCTGTATCGGCGATGCATCGGCGATGCATCGGCGACGTCGGCGATGCATCGGCAACGTCGGCGTTGGGAAACACGGGCTCCACATCGAGCCGCATCGTCGATGCATCGGCGATGCGGCGCGATCCTCAGACCCCATCTATCGGACCCCATCTAGGACTAGGTCGGGCGAGTCCCCCTAAAGGCGGATTTTGGACGACAAATAAGAATAGCCGAAACATGCGCCAAAATAGTCAACAGTAGTCAAAAAATCGTCCCCATATTATCTGTTTACTATTTTTGAATACTCCTCCTGTAGAGGGACGTGCCCGACTCAAAGCTAGGAGGCCTGGATCACTCGGCTACACGCAGGAGTGACCCTGGGTAGCAGTAACCTCTGGTGCGCGACTTTGGGGGGGCCGCGGGGGGGCCAAACCTGGGCGCGCAGGCAGCTGCTACTGCCTCGTTTTTACCCATCTGGGGACCCACCTGTGCCCGCACCAAAGGTCACTCCGGCGAAAGGTCACTCTTACGTCTAGTCGACTCCTGGCCGCACCCGAACCCCCTGGGGGCCAATCCCCAGGCGCCGGGCGTCGTGAAGTGAGCCCAGCAAAGCACCCGCATGGCAGCAAGGGTGGAGAGGCGGGTCGAGGATTGGGAGGTCGGCCAGTGAAAACGCACATTCCTTAACGGGCGAGGAACGGTATAAAATAAACTTTATCGCTGTCGGGGGCGCCTGTCCCTGGGCGGCTGGAAAGTTTATACCCTTACGGTGGCACCGTAGGGGTATAAACTTTTCAGCCGCCCAGGGACAGGCGCCCCCGCAGCGAAAAAGTTGATTTTATACCGTTCTTCGCTCGCTGAATTCCTGGGTATTCCTAATGACTCCTAGGATAGGGAAGACGGAAGACTCCGGCGAAAGGTCACTCTTGCGTCGATCGAATCCCAGGGGTCGCCCTCGCCGCCGCCGCCCGCCGCCGCCGCCCGCCCGGCGCGGCGCGGGCGCCCTGGCGGGCCCCCCGCCCCCCCCTCCCCTGGCGCGCGGGGCGCGCCGCGGGCGGCGCTCCATCGGGCTGCCCCCTCCTCCTCCTCCTCCTCCTCCTCCTCCTCCTCCCTCCTCCTCCTCCTCCTCCTCCTCCTCCCTCCTCCTCCTCCTCCTCCTCCTCCCTCCTCCTCCTCCTCCTCCTCCCCTCCTCCTCCTCCTCCTCCCCCTCCCCCTCCTCCCATCCCCCCTCCTCTGCCTCCTCCTCCTGGCGCACAGGGTGGGCGGCGCTGGCCGCAAGGCCTCCGCAGCCAGGGCGGCCAGCGCCGCTCCGAGCGAGGCGCGCCGAGGCCCCGGAGGTTCTGCTCGTGAGGTCTGCTCCGATCCGCCCGTCGCCCTCGTCGTCCTCGTCGTCCTCGTCCTCCTCGTCGCCCTCCGATCCGACCGTCGCCCTCGTCGCCCTCGTCGTCCTCGTCGTCCTCGTCCTCCTCGTCGTCCTCGCCGTCGCCGCCGTCGCGCGCTCGCGCGGCGGCGGCGACGGCGGCGGCGACGGCGGCGGCGACGGCGGCGGCGACGAGGACGGCAGGGATCAGAGAAGGGCGAGTTGAGACAACGGAGAGCGGTAGTTGGCCTTCGGCAGGCCCCCTCGTCGCCGCGGCTGGACGCAGCTCGCCATCCTTGACATCGCCGCCGTTGCGCGCGCGCGCGCGCCCGGCGGTGCCTCGCAGTCCACCGGCCTCCGCGCGCAGGTCGCCGTCTCGCGCAGCGTGGCCGCGCAGGACCTGCCGCCGCCGGCGGGCTGCGTGGTCACGGAGCGGTTGCGGGTCGTCTGGCCCAGGACCTCGGGAGGGAAAGGCAATGTCCCCAGACCTCCGATGTTTCGTGCTTTCGTGTTCCTCTAGACGTTTTTCTTCGATCTCGTCCTCTGGGGCCCGTGCCCGGGCCCGGAGACCATCAAGACTGGCTGGTGCAGAACTACACATGGGTAATAGGTAGGGAGCTCTGGGGCCGTGAATTGAACGCTCGGACCCCCTTGCGCTGTAAAAAATCAGGGGGGCATGTGTGTTGGAGGTTTTCGGCCTCTGTGTGCCTCCAAGAGGGATCATCATATAAAAACCTAAGAAAATGTATGACTAGATGACGGGGGGCGGCCGTACATATACATACATGCATAGATACATGCATGCATCCGGACGTGCATTGCATACATACATATAGAAATACATACATACTGACATGCATGCATACACACATACAGACAGACACATACACATCTATATATATATATATATACACATTCTAGAACCATCTGTCTGTCTGTCTGTCTGTCTGTCTGTCTGTCTGTCTGTCTGTCTGTCTGTCTGTCTGTCTGTCTCTGTCTGTGTGTGTGCGTGCGTGCGTGCGTGCGTGCGTGCGTGCGTGCGTGCGTGCGTGCGTGCGTGCGTGCGTGGGTGCGTGGGTGTGTGGGTGTGGGTGTGTGGGCGTGTGTGTGTGTGTGTGTGTGTGGGTGTGTGTGTGTGTGTGTGTGTGTGTGTGGGGGGGGGGGGGGCCTCTTGGGGGTCTCGGAGGCCTCTCGGAGGTCTCTGGACGCCTCCTGCTCCCGCTCTTTGGCCCATCTTGGGCCTGTTCTGGGGTGGTCTGGGGCTGTCCTGGGCGCCTCGTCGGCAGTCTTGGGGCCGTCCTGAGGGCCTGAGGGTCTACTGGGAGGTCTTGGCGCGGTCTTGGGAGCCTCTTCGGCGCTCTTGGACCATTTGAAGCTCGAAAACGCGAGAAGCCAAAAACATGTTTAAACGAAAACAATGAGAATCGACGAGTTTGGTCTCTTGGGGCCGTCCCGGGACGCCTCTCGGACCTCTCTTGGGGTCTCTTGGAGGCCACCTGGGAGCCTCGAGAGCCGTCGGAAGGCTGACTTGGGTTGCTTGGGAGCGTCTTGCACCATCCTTTCGCATTCTGGGGGCTCCTGGGAGGCGTCTTGGGCCCTCCTGGGGCGCTGTGGAGGCTCCCCGGAAAGGCCGGGGGAGTCGTACCGGGAGCGTTCCCGAGATGTCGCGGGGAGGTGTGAGACCTGGGGCCGGGGGGGGCGGCATTTTTTTTTTATATATATATATATATATATATGTATGTATATGTGTATATATATATATATATATATACGAGAGAGCGTGATCCACCGCCGCTTTACTGTGGAAAATTGCCAACCTTTTCCTCCGGAGCCCGGGGGTCGCCCCCCCCCCCCCTCCGAAAATCCCCCCCCCCCTGCTGGAACCCCTCCCCCCCCCCCCCCTCCCCCGGCAAAACCCCCCCCCTCCCCTAACCCCCCCCCCCCCCCCCCTCCCGCTCGAAAACCGGGGGGTCACTACCGTTCGAACCCCTTCCCCCCCCCCCCCTCCGGATCCGGAAAACCGGGGGGGCCACTACCGGTTCGAACCCCCCCCCCCCCCCCCCCCTACTCACCGCCAGCAAACGACTCCCGGTCCCCACCACCGTCCGCATCACATCCCCCACTGGTGTTCCCAGCACCACTGTCCTCACCACCGCTGTCCCCACTGGTTCCACCACCGCCCCTACTGTCCCCACCAGTGGCCCCACCACTGTCGCACTGTCCCCGCTGTCCCCAGAACTGTTCCCACCACGGTTCCACTTTCCCCACTGTCTCCACGGCCCCAACCACTGCCCGACTATCCCCACTGTCCCCACAGTACTGACTCCTTCGCTGTCCCACTGAGCTGTCCCACTGTTCCCACCACTGTCCCCACCACTGTCCCCACTGTACCACTGTCCCATTGTCCCACCGCCGTCCTCGCCACCGCCTTCACCACTGTCCCCACCACCATTGTACCCTCCACTGTCCGACTGTTTCCACCTCATTCCCATTGTCCCCACATCACTGTCCCCACCACCACCGTCACCACCACTGTCCACTGTCCCCCCCTGTTCCCACCATTGTCCCCACCACTGTCCCCACCACTACCGTCCCCACCACTGTCCCACTGTCCCACTGTCCCCACCACTGTCCCGCTATCCCCTCACCACTGTCCCCACCAACACCGTCCCCACCACTGTCCGCACCCCCACTCGGTTTTCGAGGGGGGGGGGGGTTCGAACCGGTAGTGACCCCCCCCGGTTTTCCGGATCCGGAGGGGGGGGGGGGGGGGGGTTCGAACCGGTAGTGACCCCCCCCCCTTTTCATGATGAGCAGGGGGGGGGGGGGGAGGGGTTCGAACCGGTAGTGACCCCCCCCGTTTTCTGGAGGGGGGGGGGGGGGGGGGGGGGGGGGGGAGGGGTTCGAACCGGTAGTGACCCCCCCCGGTTTTCCGCCAGCAGCGGTAGAACACGCTCTTTCATATATACGTATATATTTGTATATATATAGATATGTTTGTATATATGTATATATATATATATATGTGTGTATGTATATATACGTATATATACGTATGTATATATATATATATATATGTCTACTAGAACCATCGCGCGCGCTTCGCGCGCGCTCAAGTTTTGGCTAGGCCTGATGGGCTAGCACATGGAATCTCACCTTTGTCGTTTCCTGCGTTCAGGGACTCTCTTGGAGGCCCTGCGCAAGCCTCGGAATCGCATAGAAGGGGAACTGTGGAAACGCAGAAAACATGAATTGCCGTTCGGTATTCATCGATTTGGGGCCCTCGAAAGCTTCCTGGGTTCTTTTCTGGGAGCTGAGGGGGGCCTTACTTGTGGTCTGCTGTGCAAGAGTAGACGGGGGAGCGAACTTGGAGAGAAAAGAGTTGTGGGACTTCTATGTTTGTTTCTAGTTGTTGTGCCTGGTCTGTGGGTTAGACGTTTTCTGGATGCAGGCCACTCTGTTGGGATGCCTCTCGGGGTCTTCGTGCAAACATAAGCAGGGGGTGACTTTGACAAACAAAAATTCTACAATTCCACTGCTTCAACTCAAGGGATCATGGGATCTCGATTTCTACAGTGGTTCCAGGGGCAGCCAAGAGGACACGAAGACGATCCAAGAGAGTGCCAAGACAGCGTCAGAGAGTTCAACAGCACTCCCGAGACATATTTGCATGTAACCCCGAAGTCCCTCGGTCTTGGAGCGTAAGGAGCGGGAAAACGTGAGAAGGCGAACAACGTTGACAAAAACCACTGGGAATCAACGATTGTACCTTCTTCGGGCTCTTTCGGGACGGCTCTCGTAGCTCTCTTGGGCTGTTTTTGAAGCCTTGTCGAAGCTTTTTTGGGGGCCTCTCAAGGGTCTGGGGTGTGTTTGGGGCCTCTGGGGGTCCCAGAGTCCTCTCGGAGGTCTCTGGAGGCCTCCTGCTCCCGCTCTTGGGCCCATCTTGGGCCTGTTCTGGGGTGGTCTGGAGCTGTCCTGGGCGCCTCTTCGGCAGTCTTGGGGCCTTTTTGGCCCGTTTTGGAGCCGTTTTGGGCGGTCTTGGGGCGGTCTTGGGGGCCTCTTCGGCCGTCTTGGAGCGTTGGAAGCATGAAATGGTGAGAAGGCCAAAAACCAACAAACAAACATTAGAAATTAACATGAACGATTTTAGGTTCTCATGGCGCTCTCGGGAGGCCTCTCGGAGCTTTCTTGGAATCTCTTGGAGGCCTCCTGAAAGCCTGGAGAGCCGCCGAAGGCTATCTTGGGTTGCTTGGGAGCGTCGTGGATCGTCCTTTTAGATTATGGCGGCTGCTCGTAGGCGTCTGCGGCTCTTCTGAGACGTTTTGTTGCATATGCGGGGGGCCGGGGACGCGGTACCGTGAGCGTAATCAAAATGTGATCGAGGTGGAGGACGCCCCGGGAGGCGTCCCGGCCTATTTGTCGTTGCTTAGTATGATTGCTAGTATTATTGTTATGATTAGGGGCATTATTATGTATATGTATATGTATATGTATATGTATATGTATATGTATATGTATATGTATATGTATATGTATATGTATATGTATATGTATACGTATATGCACATGTATATGTATATGTATATGTCTATGTATGTGTATATGCAGTTGTATAGATATATGCATATGTATGTGCATATGTATATGTATATGTATGTACATGCATATGTATATGTATACGCATATGCATATGTATATGTTTATGTATATGACTATGCATGTTTGGATGTATGCATGCATGCATGTATGTATGGATTGAGGTGTGTATGTATGTGTGTGTATGCATGCATGTACGTATGTATGTGTGTATGCATGCATGATTATGAATGTATGCATGCATGCATGCATGCATGCATGCATGCATGTATGTATGTATGTATGGTTGTATGTATGCATGCTGGGTGTATACACATACATATATATATATATGTATATTTATATTTATATATATATATATATATATATATCGATTCGATTGACATGTGGGGTCGGCATGAGCATGTGCATCGGTGTGCAGGGTTCGAGGGTGGACAGGGGCTGGTGCCCAAAGTGCAGGACCCTCCAAGAACAGGTCGGGACGACAAGCCAGACCTGGGGAAAAGGGTCGAGCGAGACCTCAGGGGACCATCGCGTTGTGACAAAAACGCGACGTCGAGGGTTTGGGTCTCCCTCACGGCACAGAGCAATTATCCGTCGCAGCGGAGGTAATCCGCTTGCACGCTCTAGTGGGTCGGGCGAAGACACGGCACTAATCCCACCAGCCCTCTGGAAGTAGGTAGTTGAACGAACTCTTGTCTTCTCTCGTCCCACAACCCTCCTTCCCCTGCTCGGGGAAAGGGCTTATCATTATTCCTTGTTGATATACACCACCTCCCCAACCAGGCTGGCGTCCAACCAGGAACCTTGCCACCACCATGAGGGCCCGTCCCCCACCATCCCTGCCAACAAAAAGAATACAAACCGCACTCTGCCTCCACATTTGGAGCATGCGCGGCCAACCCGATGCGCCTCCCCCACCATCCCTGTCAAAAAGCAATGCAAAATACACTGTGGGGCAAAGTCTCGGGTCATTTTCGTGAGGCCTGCAAACACTTCGTATTGCTTGTGACAGGGGCGGCGGGGGTGCCAGCATATTCCCTGCCGTGCGCAGGGCTACCACCCCTGACAAAAAAACAATACAACACGCACCTCGAGGCTAAATCTGGATTACGCGCGGCCATCCCGCGATCACTGACAAGGGCGTGGTGGCGCGTAGCCTGCTGTGCGCAGGCCCACCAGACTCAATGGTGGGCATTGGTTTTCGACAAGGATGGCGGCGGCCGGCATGCTTCCCGATGTGTGCTGTCGCGTGCGCAGGCGCGCACTCTGCACGTGCCCCGAACATGGCGCACCTGGCGCGGCTGGACTGTGTGGCACTCCTGGCGCACTCGGAGCACGTGGCGCATCTGGCGCACCAGGCGTGCCTGGCACGCTCGGGCCCCAGGGGTGCATGGCGCGCGTGGCGCCCCTGGCACGCCTGGCGCACGACCGCTGAACATGCTCAGGCTCGGGTGTTCCTTATGTCTTGGGAGGGCGGGTGGGAGTGAGCTAGTGAGCTAGACGGCTTGCGGGCGGGTGGGTAGCTTGACCCCTCCCCCAACCCCCTCCCCTGGGCCTTTTTTTTGGGGGGGGGACGGAGGGGTTAGAGCGTCCAAGATGGCTCAATATGGCTTCAAGAGGGCCTCAGAGAGCCCAAGATGGCCTCCGAGATGGCCCAAGATAGCCGAACACGTTTCAAGATAGGCTCCGACATGCCTCGAAGACGCCTCAAGGCGGGCCCAAGACTGATTCCAGTGCCCTTCGAGCCCTTCTAGGCATCCTCCAAAAGGCCCAAGTTCTTCAAAGACCTGATGGAAGCCATTGTGGTTGGCCTTCTCGCCGTTTCGCTTCCGATGGGCCTCGGAGGCCTCCAGATGGCCCCAAGGCGGCCGAAGAAAACCCCACGAGGAGCCCAAGAGGGCCCAACGGCGCTTCAAGAGCGGCCCAAGAGGGCACCAAGACGCCATACGTGAGCCTCCCAGGGGGGGGCTGACTTTTGCATACCCCCCATAGTTTAGAACCATGGGGGCCAATATGACCCCAATAGGCCTCCCAGACCCCCCCACCGAGCCCCAAGAGGGCCCCAGGACCACCTAAATGAGCTCCAAGAGGGCCCCAAGAGTGCCCCTAAGAGGCCCCACGGGGGCCGTAAGAGAGCCCCTAAGATGGCCTTCGTCGTCCTCCAAGAATCTCTCACAACAACATACCTCCCAAACCTGGCTTCCCATCCTCCTTGCCATCGTCCGTTAATTCCCTCCTCCTGCCCCTCCTCCTCCTCCTCCTTCTCCTCCTCTTCCTCCTCCTCATCATCATCAACATCATCATCAACATCAGTATCGTCATCATCATCATCATCATCATCATCATCATCATCATCATCATCATGATCAGCATCATCACCATCATCATCATGATCATCATCATCATCATCATCATCAGCATCATCATCATCATCAGCATCGTCACCATCATCATCAGCATCATCATCAGCAGCATCACTACCATCAGCATCATCATCACCAGCATCAGCATCACCAACATCATCGTCATCATCATCAACATCATCATCAACATCATCATCATCACCACCACCGTCATCATCAGTTCCATCATCATCGTCATCGTCATCATCAGGAGATGAATAGGGTGGGCAGCGGGGATTGAGGGGGGCGAGGGAGATCTTCAGGTCGAGGCTGGAGAAGGGAACAACGAAAGCAGGGAATGAACGAGAGTTCTGAGCGAGGGAGCGGTGGCCTGAGCACCCCCTCCTCGTCCTGCCTCGCCCCGGGTCTCACATCCGTAGCCAGAATGTAGCTCGAGTGAGGGATCGACTACCGAATTGATTTACCCCAGAACTGTTTCCCCGATCGAATCAACGAGAAATGCGTAGACTGTTCCGTAGATATGCGGAAGATTCTACATACTTTTCGTAGGCCCGACGAGAAACTTTATCTTCGGGTAAATCAATTCTGTAGTCGATCCCCTACTCGAGTAATCATAGGCGCGGTGGAACAGCGCTCAGATGGGTGGCTCCGAAATATTCCTCCCCACTGCCGCCCGACAGGCCATCGGCCTATGATGAAAGGCACATGTAGCAAGGCACCAACTATACACCAACACCGATCCTGGCCAGGATCGGTGTTGGTGTATAGTTGGTGCCCTCCGAACATGGCCCGAGGGTTCCCCATCCTGCTGCGGCGAATGCGGTGCTCCTGCCAAGTTGGCCACCCGTCGCCTGCGAGGGTACCATCCTCACCGGATCAGCCCCACAGATTGCGCGCGCGATGCGAGCCGCAGGGCGCTGGGCAGGGAACGCACGGCATCCACTCCTGCCAGTCGCTCAGCTTGCAGTCCTGGCGGCGACGTGTGCCCCAGAGTGGAGGAGGAGACACGACAGACGGCTAACCAAAGATGGCGGGCCACGGGGGACTCAGACAAGACGGCATGCACACTGCAAGCAGGCCTCGGTGGGTCGCCAGGCGGGGTGTTGGCCGGCCGGTCGGGCGCATATTCCGAGGGTCGATCGCCAGCGGGCCGCACGTGCTCTAGCGAGCAGGCCAGACGAGTCCGTCAGCGCTGACGGGCCTGCTTCCAACGAGGCGAGTGCCGAAGCGAGCGCGAAGGCCGATCTATCTCTCACTGAGTCCAGTGGCCCGTCGCGAGTTCTGTTCAAGGCGCCTGACCGCCAAGGCCGTTCGCCCCCTCGGTCCTTCCCCACGCCCCGGCCCACAAAAAGGAGGCCTCCCAAACGGGCTCCGAGCAAGTGGGGTCGGGGGATCGCGGAGCATCGCCGACGCATCGCCGATGCGCTGGCGATGCATGCGCGACTCCCGCGATGCTTCGGTGCCGCCTGCGTGGAGAAAATCAGACTCCACACCGAGCCGCATCGCCAATGTATCGGCGACGCGACGCGACGCCACGCACCGACCCCACCTAGCGGGTTCCAGAAACAACGAACCCAAAAATGTCGCCATCTCTCAGGGGAAGGGGTCGACTACAGAATTGATTCACCACAGAATTGTTTCCCGATCGAATCAACGAGAAATGCGTAGACTGTTCTGTCGATCTGCGAAAGATTGCACGTACTCTTCGTTAGCTCGAAGGGGAAATCCATTTTGGGTGCATCAATTCTGTAATCGATCTCCTACTCGAATCTTCCACTCTCTTGAATTGAGCAGGGGCCGACCGTCCTGGCATTCCTCTGGGCCTACCACGACATGTTCTCAGCACCCACAAACGTCTAAGAACAAAAGCAATGCTCCGATAACATGAACCCAGTGTGTGAAACCAAGACGGTCTAAGCCAAGACTGTTCTAAGAACATTTCGTGCAACCCATGAAATCGGGGATGGACAGAACCCCGTTTAGCAAAACGTGGTTTAGTGAAAACGACCTCGGGCCCAAACCTGGCGGGCGCAGGCCTGGAAAATGACGGCCGCGGCGCCCCCTCGAGAACCGAAAACGGAGAATTCACTAATCGACGCGTCAGGGTGGGGGTTCTGTCCACCCCCGACGAAAGGTCTCAGGACATTCTCTGGTGGGCCTACAGGCAAGCAGGCAAGCCGGGCCGCTTCGCCAATGCGGGAAACAAACACACAGTCTGTGGAACAAAAACACACACATGTGGGAAAGGAACAACACACACATGTGTGTGTGTGTGTTTGTGTGTGTGTGTGTGTGTGTTTGTCCCACTGTTTGTTTTGTGTGTGTGCGTGCGTGCGTGCGTGCGTGCGTGCGTGTGTGTGTGTGTTTGTCCCACTGTGTTTGTTGTTGTTGTTGTTGAACATTATTAATTCTAAAGAATAATTATTGTTGGGACCCCTTGTGCACGGCCCCCCTGCGCCGCCTAGGCCGCAGCTACATTTTCATCATTTTCGTGAGGAAGCCTCAGGTAATTCGATGTGATCAAGATCCGGTTGTTTTGTTCCCCCCCGCTTTCCCTTGCAAAAAACACTATAAAATGACATTTCTTGTTCTAATATAATCAAATTTCAAGAATCCCTTGCAAAAAATAAGGTAAAGTGGACATTCGCGCGCGCAAGACGAAATCCTTCCAAAAGCTTAGTGTTCGGAGCGATTTCAACATAAAAACATCAAAAAACTAATGGTTTTTCAACAAAAAATGTCAAAATCTCATCCCGCGCGCTCTTGCGGATTCGTAGGAAACCCAACACTTTTTAAACATTTCTGTCAAACGGGCTTTTGCGAGCAACTTTTTCGAACTTCTGCGACAACGGTTGCGCACCTGCCAGGGCCATCATCCCTGTCAAATAATACCATCCGCGCATGTGCCCAGCATGGCACAATTGCACCATGCTGGGCACATGCGCGCCCCGAAGAAGTGACCAAGTTCTGTGGGTGTGTACCCCACGCCAGTGTAGTAGCCACGGTCGTCCGCACGCCACGAAGTGAAGTGTCCCAACGTCATAGGGCGGGAAGCTGGGTTTGGGTGGTCGCGAAGAGTCGTTTGGATATTTGGTAGAGCTTGTAATGCCCCCCCACGAAGTGGGGGTATTGCCTGGTGTCGTATGAAAACCCTGGCACTGGGGAGAACACCGCGCGTTCGGGTAAAATGATTGTTGTTGTTGTTGTTGTTGTTGTTGTTGTTGTTGTTGTTGGTGTGTGTGTGTGCGTGTGTGTGTTTTGTGTCTTGTTTCCCACATGTGTGTTTTTCCCCACAGGGTGTTGTTTCCCCACATGCAAGGAGGAGGAGGAGGAGGAGGAGGAGGAGGAGGGAGGAGGAGGAGGAGGAGGAGGAGGAGGAGGAGGAGGAGGAGGAGGAGGAGGAGGAGGAGGAGGAGGGAGGAGGAGGAGGAGGAGGAGAAGGAGATGGAGGAGGAGGAGTGTGTTTTTTCCCCGCAGGCTTATCAGGGTGCAGGCCTTGCTCCTGGCGCCTCCCGCGGGCACTCCGCCCGCACAGAGCCGCCGCCGCTCGCTCGCCTCCCCCGCGCCGGCCTCCCGCTGGAATCTTCCGCCGCGGCCCCTCCGAGGGCGACCCCTTCGATGGAAGGGGCCCTGGGACACACAGATAAACACTCCAGATCTCGTGGTAAAAGGGAGGGGGTCTGGACCCTCCAAGACAAGCCATTTCAGACCCCCCCCCCGTGGGAGAGCCCTCCAAAACATCGTCCCCAGACCCCCCCAGGCCCGCCAAGATAGCCTGGAAGAGACCCCCCCCGAAATGAGACCCCCCTCCCTTTTATTACGAAATCTGGAGTACACACGAATAAAACCATTCCCCATATTTTCACACACGCACACACACATATATATATATATATATATATATATATATATTATGGGTTTTTGTCTGCCCCCCCCCACTTCCCATATTTTCCCATATATTTTCTTGGGATCGACGATTCATTGTGTCTGTGTGTGTTTTTCCCCTCCTGATCGATCCTCCCCTCCTGATCGATCCGGGCGGGTGGCAACAAGGGGGGCGGCCCGCATGGGGGGAGGAAGGGCAGGGCTCTGAAGGGGCCCCTCCGGGCCCCTTCTTCCTTTCCCTCCCCCCCCCTCCTCCCCCTCCATAATTACACAATATGAAAATGCTCTCCCACTTCCCCTGATGGCGTCCCGGAGATCTCCGACCCACCCACCCCGCGTACTGTTTTTTACACAGGATTCCCGGGAGTTGGGTTTTCGCTTGCGTTTTTTTCAAAATGCTGATCTCGCTGAGGCGCCGGCCTCATTTCTGCTCCCGAATCGTTCCGAATCGTGCTCCCGCTGCAGCGTGGGCCTCATTTTCGGATCGGTGTTTGCCCTCCGTCGTTCAGGATGGCGTTCTCGCCCCAGCGCGGGCCTCTTTCTCGCGCGCCCATCCGCCCGCCACCACCGCGCCGCACCACCACCACCACCACCCACCACCACCACCACCACCACTACAACCAGCACCAGCACCAGCACCAGCACCAGCACCAGCACCAGCACCAGCACCAGCACCAGCACCAGCACCACAACCACGCACACACGCACGCACGCACGCACGCGCACCACCACCCACTACGCACGCGCGCGCGGAGCCACAGGTCCGCTACGACACGCGTCCGCGGATAGAGAAAATCAGCGCCATGGTAAGGGATGGGAGGGAGGGGTAGGACGTCAGATATGACGCGAGCGCACCTAGCTTGCCCCTCCCCCCTCCCCCCTCCCCCCTCCCCCCCCCCCCCCCCCCCCCGACTCAGTCTCGAGGGGCCCCTTTGGGAGCCGGCAGGGGCCCCAAAGGGACCGCTGACTCAGCGGTCCCGAGTTGGGTCAGCCCCCTGCACCGCCCGCCCGAGCCCTGTCTGGAACGCCTCCAATCGAGCCACGCCCCCAGTTCGGCCGCTGGCAGAGCCGAGTTTAGCGGGACCTGGCTCCGTGATGTGTGCGGGGGGGCGCCCCCCACCAGGCCCCGTTCCACTGAGACCGGAACTGCCGTCACCCGAAGCACACCAGCTACACGGCGGACCTGGTTTGGTGATCCTGGCAAACTGAAGGGCCCCGGGGCCCTACTACTAACCGGGTCCCTTTACCTGTAAGTCGGGCGTGTCCCCCTACAGGGGGATTCTGGGCGAAACATTTAAAACATACCCCAAAAATGCTCCCAAACGGCCCCGAAATACTAAACAAAAAAATAGTCTCCAGACTATCATTTGACAATTTTTGAATACTCCTCCTGTAGAGGGACAGGCCCGACTTAACCTTGCCTGGGGTCCTGGCTAGACCCGACCAGTGCATCGGCGGCGCGGCGCGAGCCACCGGCCCCGTCTGCGCGGGCCTCCCCCCGGGAGGCCCGGGCACGAGTAGAGGGCCGAGGGGCGCCGGGGCGATCCCTGCTCTCCTGGGGAGATGGACGGGTCGAGCGCCGTGGATGTCATCGCAGTGGGCACTCTCACAGTGGGGGAGGAGGAGGAGGAGGAGGAGGAGGAGGAGGAGGAGGAGGAGGAGGAGGAGGAGGAGGAGGAGGAGGAGGAGAGGAGAGGAGGAGGAGGAGGAGGAGGAGGAGGAGGAGGAGGAGTGGGGGGTCGTTGCGCCCCTCCCTTGAGCCTCTCCCTCCCCCTACCACTGCCCCTGGGGAGTGGGGGCTCGGCTCCCTCCTGGCTGGCTCCGCACGCCCTCCCCGGCGGGCGCCGCCGACGGGGGAGCGTTGTGGATGCCATCACAATGGGCACTCTCACAACCTATCATTGAGCTGAGCATGTGCTGCAGATGCTCAAAATCTGGTCTAAGCCTGTTTCGAACAGGTTCGTTCAATTAGTTTGTTCTAAACCTGTTCAA